CTTGCATTGCCTTGGTCCGCTTCTCAGTGACCATCCGTAGAGGGTGGGACAAGCCATTCCTTGGACCTCCGCCAGGATCCAAGAGGAGTCACCCCACCACCAGTGCTCTTCCAGTAGGGGAGAGTAGTGGATCCAGGTGCGCGTGAGTGGCAGGGGCTCCTGAGACCTCTAGTCGTCTTTCAAATGTTGAAACAGAGCTTTATCAAATATGAATGCTGGTCTGTATGATCCCTATCAATAGTTGTTATGATTTCTTCATTCAGTGGGTACACACAATAGAGAATCAACCAGGCTGGCAAGCAAAGGGCAGTATTGATCTGTCTCTCTCGAGGTTGCTTGCTTGCTTCTCCCGCCTTAAGGAAGGAAATCTTGCCCTTCTGCAAATCCCTGCTGGTTTCTCCTCCTTCATGGCCATGAAAGGAATCAGCCCCGTCAGATTATTCAGGATCTGCTAGGAAGCAAACTGTGTGCTGCCTCTCTGATCAGAGCCTCACCATCACCCAGGGAACGAACAACAGAACAAAGGCCCTTGGCCAGTGACTCCTGCCAACCAATATGCACATTATACCTTGCGGCACAAAGGTAGCCATTGCATGGAAACACCTTCACGTTGCTCTTTGTGGCTTACATTTTGTGTGTGTCACTTGTAAGTGCTCCAGCCTTCACACTTGGTCAATTTTGTACTGCCCTTACAAATGTTGCTTTCTAGTGCTTTTTTGGTAATAGAAATCATGGGCTAACTTGGTTTCATCAAGGGACAATAATATTAGCTGTTTAGAAAGTGCAAAAAGAAAGTGTTTGCAACTGTGATTGTAGTAGTCACCTTGTAAAATATAAACATTGAAAGTTTTGGCACAGTTTCTGTATGCACATCAGCTATATTTATAAATAAATCATCATCATCATCATCATCATCTTTATACCCCACCCATTTAGCTGGCTTTCCCAAGGGACTCTGGGGGGCTTACAGCACATCTAAAAACACCCAGCATTAAAGATCTCCTGATACACGGCTCAGGAGATAGAGAGTGAGAAGGAAGAGAAAGCAGGAAGGGTAACCATGTCAGACCACTAACTCCTCGAAATACAAATGTCTTCCGGATAGATTGCCCATAAACTCCACCCCTTGGTCCAACACGGTTACCTCTTCCATGCTTAGCTAATCTGTTCCTCCTTCCCTCTCTGAGGAAAAAAACCTATACCTTTTCCCCATACAAATGTTTAACTTTAACATATAAAATACACACTAATATAAGCAACATCAAAATACCAAAAACCAGTATTATCACAGGGTGCCAAGCCAATTTTAAAATGTTGGTCGTGGTATGGCTCTATCCTGATAAGATGTCCCACCAAAGGTGTGTGGTTCAATCCTGAATATCCTGAGTGACTCTTCTTAGCTTGGCTTGTTTTGCTATGGCAATATTAGTACTTTGCATTATGACACATTCCAAGTTTTTCCACAATCTTCATGTACTTTCTCATTCCTTTTCTCCAAGCAGACTGAATCCCTCGCAAACACCCCATCGGATACCTGCATCCGCACAACCCAAACCCTGCCAGCACCGAACTTTTCAGTTACTTCAACCGCTCCACATTTGCTGAGGGTGCATTTGCATTCCTCTCAGCCAGGAATGCCTCCTTCAGGAGGTACAATGAAACCATTTGCAGCCACTGGAATCAGCCAGCAAGTGATCCATCCACAAGAGCCAGATTCTGGACTTGAAGAATCCCAAGCACATTTATCTGGCTTTTTCATTCTCTCTGCAAGAGGAGAGAAGTGAAAGGCACTGCTACATCTGGCGCAGTCATTAGGGAGGTGCATTCAGGGATTAAACAACAAAAAAGAGGAAGGGATCCTAACAGACAGAAAGGGTGCTCTGCTTGGAAAGGAGCAAAGAGCTCGCTGCTCCGTCTTGTCCTGCTTCTGCTGCTGGTTTTGGATTTCCTGGAGAAATATCAAACACTCTTATATACAACCCTTTATCCCCCTACTTCTCTCCCCCCCCTTCCCTTCAGAAATGCAGTGGCAAAGGTCTAAATTAAAACCCCGGGATGAAGCGCTAACCTCAACCCCTCAAGCCATGTGTCGTTAACTAAGTTTCAGAGTCAGTGGAAATATTTGCTACTTCAATGGTACTGTTTTCCTAATATAGAATTACAGGGTTTTGCACAGTTTCTGGGCTTTTCTACACCAAGATTGATTTATTCCTCCTTTATTATATTTATTCCTCTCACCATAACAGGTTTCCAAACAAATTAACAACTTTTAAGCAAGAGGAAGCAACCAGAATGATTGGCAACTCTAACTAGAGCAAACTAGAGCAAAATCCTCAGTTTTTTAAACCACATCTTAAGCCAGCCTATGGGACCAAACAATTAATTTGGCTCAGGGCACAGGCAGCCAAGTGGGACATACGACAGATGTAGATGAACACATCTAGGTCACATGGAGAAACGTGAACGCACAGTGCCAAGGAAATGGGACTGGCCAGCGAGGCAAAGATGGAGGAGAAATTGGAATGTTACCCCTCCCCCCAAATCTGGGGCAAACTGGTGGAGACGATAGCAGTGGGGAAGCTACAAATATTATTGGAAAACACAGATAATTAAATGCATTCCTATGTAGGTTGAATCCTGGCTCAATCCACCCAATATTGAGGGGGCCAACATCCCCCGTTGGGTTGTTGTCATGGGGAAGCAAATGACAGCCACCATCAGCTGCAATACACACAATAGGTAGCCGAGCGGGACATGTGAGAGATGTGGAAGGCCTGAGAATATATTATGATGTGTCATGCTTTAGTTGGATCAGAGACTGGATTAAGTTAGATAATAATGACATTTTAGACTTGGAGGGATGGAACAACAGATACGATTGGCATGCCTATCTAATTTACAACAAAGTGGTGGTACATAAAGAATTTCTTAGTCATGTAACTAGAAATTCATTATATAAGGTCTGGGTGAGACATAGAAGGCTGTTAGAACCGAAAACGCCATGGTGGGTCTCACCGTTAGAAGTAATATCGGTTAAAAAGAAAAATACGATAGGAAGAATGGTGACATACCAGGCGCTCCTAAAAGAGGAACAGGGCCAATTAAAACTAAGACCATACGAAGAGGTGACCCAATACTGCACCAGATGGTTGCAATATCACCAAATTGCCCAAATATTCAATCAGGATAAAGAAATAGGATTTGAAAAAGAAGAATGAAATTACAAAAAGTATTATTACAAAACTCAAAAAAGAATATATCCAAAATGTATAATTTATTATTAGAATTGGACTTAAAGGATGAAGAAGTAAAACAAGTTATGACTAAATGGGCATGTGATATAGGATACGTAATTCGGCTGGACCAATGGGAGATATTATGGAAATGTGATATTAAATTTACGGCATGTTATACAGAGAAAAGTTCATGAAAATGGTGTACCAATGGTACTTAACTCCGGTAAAATTGGCTAAAATTTACAAATTAAAATCAAATAGCTGCTGGAGATGCAAAAAAGAAATAGGCACAATGTTTCACATGTGGTGGGAATGCCGACCTATTAAACAATTCTGGAATGAAATTTATGAAGAAATGAAAGATATGTTTAAAATATCTTTCAGTATAAGACTGGAGGCATTCCTTTTTGGTATAATCACAAAAGATATTCCCGACAATCAAAGGAAAGTATTCCTTTATGCAATGACAGCTGCCAGGATGCTTATAGCAAAAAAATGGAAAGGGAGAAAAATTCCATCAATGAAAGAATGGCAAATCAAATTTTTTGAATATATAAATCTGGCAAGACACAGGGCATTCATAAGGGAACAATCAGACCAGAAATTATTAAAAAAACGGGGATGTGCTAAAGAGTATATGAAAAAACGCTGTTCTGGAATAAGCATATCGGTATGTAATGAATGATGCTTTACAGGGTTAAAGAAAAAGAAAAATGGTGTTAAAAAGTACAAATATGGAAGTAATCTACATTAGACACAACAATACAGTAAGAGTAAAAATTTTGAGGTCTTAGAACAAAGGAAGGAAGTCAATATGTGTATATGTATGTATTGATTAGACTAGAATGATGATATGGTTTTATTTGTAGATGTATGCTTTTTTGTCTTGTTTTTTACTTTGGTTTTCTTTCTTTTTTGTATGTTTTGTTTTTCTTTCCTGTTTATACAATATTATTTTGGATTTAATATTTGTAATTTTTGTTACAAAAGCATAGGTCTCTCATGAAACTGCTTGTTGAGATTCCAGTTCTTCAAAGGTTAATGCTATTGTGCCTTAATTGTAATGCTATTTAAAGATATATTTATTTTGAAAGTTGTACTATGCTGCACTCTAAAGAAAACAACTTTGAATGTGAAACTGTAAAATTATGTATTCATCTCATGGTATAAGTTATTTAGTAGGTTTAGCTACAGTATACAAAATATTAACCTAATCAACTAAAATGCTGACATGGGTTTATTTAAATTCTGTTAGTACTCTTTTTATAAGGGTACTTTCAATACTTTTTTTTAAGGTTTTGATCTTAAAAATGCTAGTTTATACAATGATTTTGCACTGAAAATAATGTTTTTTAAAAAATAAAAATAAAAAAAGAATTATGGGAAAACACAGATAATAAAATGCATTCCCATCTGGGTTGAATCCTGGCCATGGGGGTTCAATCCATTCAATATTGAGGTGGCCCACATCCCCTGTTGGCAAATCACAGCCACCATCAGCTGCAAGAGACACACGTCATAGGTAGCCGAGCGGGACATGCGACAGATGTGGAAGGACACATCTCGGTCACATCGAGAGATATAACTTCACAGAGAAGTGGGACTGGCAAGGGAAATGGCCCGCTAGTCATGGATGAGGGAGAGGAATGGGAAACATTCAATGTATCCATCTGTAGATCATTTGCATGCTGCAGGGCTTCAAACAATGTTTCTAAACAAGTAAACAAAAAATAAATAAAAAGTTTTGTTCATGGTAACATTAGCATTGTATACAGAAACAATGGGTTTCTTTCATATCTTGAAGTATTGGTTTATTTAAGGTAGTTGTACCTTGAGCTTGTTTAGAGGTTCTAGAAGGGAGCGCAGCTATCGTATACCCTTGACCGAAGAAGGGTACACTCCTTCTATCTGGGATGGTCGTCCTCTTCCACCGAGCGCGCAGCTTCGGGAGGAACGCACATGGAGCGGTGAGGGAGGAAGGGGACACCCGCCTAGCCAGTCAGATCAGCCGAATCAACCCTGGCGATCAATGGGGTGACAGATGTCGCAGCCAGATCGCCCTCACATCTTTCCCTCGACTCCCCCTCCGCGTTGGCGAGGCAGTGGGAAGGAAGGAGCTCGGTGCCACCGCCGCAGCCAGCGGCCCTAGCTGTGGCAGCAGCAGCAGCAGCTCGGTCGTGGGAGTTTCATTCAGTGCATGGAGGGAGCCCCGCGCGCGACAGCTTAGCGGGCTGCGCTGCTCCCGTGCCCCCTCAGCGGTTCGTCGCCTTGTCTCCCCTTTCCGCGGGAGCTGAGACTTCCACGTCCTTCACTGAGAAGAAAGAGCAGGATTAATACAGGATTGTTTCTGGTGGTCTTCGAGGGTGGGGGGGAAAGGAAGAAAAAAACACCGTGCTATTTAATGAGCTGTGAAATGAAGCGCTGCTGCTGCTGCTGCTACTGCTGCTGCTAACCTCCCAATTTCTAGATTCATCTGCTATTCATTGTGCTTAATATACATGTTTCTGCACTGTGCATTTAGAAGATCCCAGAAATGAATTCAAAATGGCTGCTGGGGAAAGACCACCAAACATGCCTACAGAAACACTACAGACAGGTAGCATGGTGAAACCTGTCAGCCCCGCCATCACTTTCACTTCAGCCTTTCCACTCCGCATTCTAAACAAAGGTAGTTGTACTTTCCCTCTCCTTTCCTTCTGAAAAGCTCAAAGCAGCTAACAAAAAATCAAACCATGATTTAGCAATTGAGAATATTTGTTAGGAAAGCAGCAGCAGAGATAACCTCCCCTCCTCCTCTTATCTTTATTTATTTGCTTCCATTTAAAGGGGGGAAGAGAAGCATGCATGTGTGAAAAGCAATGTTGTCCAATTAAATTTGATATTGTGTCACACCAGGCCCACAGATTTTTCCAGAAAAATTCAATGGTGCATAGCGGGCTATCAGCCCGTGTGTAGTTCAGATTCTGCAGTTTGATTGCACCCAAATGACAGAAAATGCAGAGTGCTCTGCGTCAGAGCTGGCCCACACTTCCTTGCAGGCGTGTCTTAAACTTTAATACCGTGGGGCTCCAACCATTTGTGAAACATGACCAAGTAAGGCATCTTTCCAACTGCAGCAGCCCCATTTCCTTTGTAAAAGATGGAAAAAACACAGTTCCATGGCAGAACAGGTAATGTGGTGTGAAAGAAACATCGGAAAAAATAACAGAAGCCCTGACAGAATAATCAGGAAAACCAAAGCAATGATCACCACATCTAAATACAGCCTAGAGCACAAAACAGAAGATGCAGCCACACAACTCAGGTCTTATATAAACCATGGATGAAATGTATAAATATCTCCTGGAACCTACAAGCCCTTGGTGCATTTCACCCATCGAAGCATTTGCCGTTAAGAAGAAAAACATGAAGGAAAATTGGGCAACATATAAAATGTTATTAGAGGGGGAAATTAATAAATTAAGAGGAAAGGACTTTGACATCCATATATATTTGACAGGCTGGCTCCAATACTTCCAACTGAATGAAAGACAAGGAAAATAGGGTTTGCTGGAGAAATATCAAAACCTCAGAACACAGAGACAGAGAAAGCTAAAAGATTCTGCAGTTTGATTGCACCCAAATGGCAGAACATTCAGAGTGCTCCTTGCAAGCATGTCTTAAACTTTAATACCATGGGGCTCCAACCATTTCTGCCATATGACCAAGTAAGGCATCTTTCCAACTGCAGCAGCCCCATTTCCTTTCTAAATGATGGAAAAAACACAGTTCCATGGAACAACAAGTTCTTTGTAAAAGATTTTGGGCTATTATCCTGCTCAACCCTGCTGTAGATCACCTCATGAATGCTTTCAGCCAAATATCTGAAGACATCTCCAAATAAAAGAAAAATCTATTCCTTTACACAACTGCAGCTGCCAGAATATTGATTGCAAAAAAACTGGAAGGGGGAGAAAATCCCATCACTATCAGAATGGCAAAACAAACTCGGCGAGTTTGCAGAAACGGCAAAATTGACGGCAATTATTAAAGGCCACTCAAATCAGAGAGTGGGATGGAGTGAAGGAATACATGAAAAAATATGGTCTCGGAATTCAAATATTAATAGAGAATGTCTAAAACATGCAGGGGTAAGCAAGAAAATAATAGAATCAATTGAATAATTATTAAATTGTAACAACACAAAAAGATGGAAGTAAAATATTGAGATCACACATGGGTGAAGGGGAGAGGGGGTATATGGGAACCTATAATATCATTTATAATATAATTTGTTATTTGTGTTGTATTTACATACAACAAATGGAAGGCTAGAGTATTTAGATATATTTTAATTTAGGTAATCTATGTAATAGGCTTATGTTAGAAAATGAATATGGATTTTGAATTTTATGTTTGTTAAAAAAATTTGGTTTTGAAAGAAAAAAGAAAAGAGAGGAAAAGAAACCATTTGCAGCTTCTAGAATCAGCCAGCAGGTGATCCACAAGAGCCAGATTCTGGACTTGATGAATTCCAAGCACATTTATCTGGATTTTTCATTCTCTCTGCAAGAGGATAGAAGTGAAAGGCAGTGCTACATCTGGTGCAGTCATTAGGGAGGTGCATTCAGGGATTAATTCACAAAGAAGAGGAGGGGATCCTAACAGCCAGAAAGGGTGCTCTGCTTGGAAAGCAGCAAAGAGATGGCTGCTCCATCCCTTCCTCCTCCTCCTCCTTCTTCTTCTGCTGCTAATGAGGCCTGGAGCAAGCAGGCCGAGTTCCTGGCTTCATCATCGGTGCCATTTGCAGAGGGGTGGTTTCCGCAGCCCCCCACCATCCCACCCCCTTCCTCTATGCTAGGTAAATAGAATTACAGGATTTCCCACAGTTTCTGCTTTCCTCTTCATAGCTGCTGCTCAAGTACTATCTTTCCTTTTCAAATAAAAAATTGCAGGTTTCTCCACAGTTTCTTTACATACATCAGCAATATCTATGCTTCAGCCCTCTTCTATTGCAAGATGGATTTCCTTCCAAACATGCCTTCAGGTGGTACAGCCACACAGCTCACCCCCTGCCCTTAATGAACTTTTCAGTTACTGAACACACTCCAAATTTGCGGAGGATGCACCTGTGTTACTCGCAGCCAGGTATTCCCAAACCCCTCAACACAAGTGTCCCTTCTCTTTTTCTGCACCCCGATTCAATCCCTTGCCAACACCTTACCAGAAGATGCAGCTACACAAATCAGACCTTATATAAACCATGGATAAAATATAAATATCTCCTGGAACCTACAAGCCCTTGGTGCATTTCACCCATCGAAGCCTTTGGCGTTAAGAAGAAAAACATGAAGGGAAATTGGGCAACATATAAAATGTTATTGGAGGGGGAAATTAATAAATTAAGAGGAAAGGACTTTGACATCCATATATATTTGACAGGCTGGCTCCAATACTTCCAACTGAATGAAAGACAAGGAAAATAGGGTTTGCTGGAGAAATATCAAAACTAAAAGTAAGTCTAATCCAGCCTAAAGGAAAATATCTATCTAAAATGTATATTCTGCACCACAATTCACACCCTGCCATCAAAGAACTTTTGTCTCACTTAAAACGCTCAACCTTTTCTGAGGATGAACACCTCAGAACACATAGGGACAGAGAAAGAGAAAACATTCTGCAGTTTGATTGCAACCAAATGGCAGAACATTCAGAGTGCTCCTTGCAGGCGTGTCTTAAACTTTAATACCATGGGGCTCCAATCATTTCTGCCATATAACCAAGTAAGTCATCTTTCCAACTGCAGCAGCCCCATTTCTTTTGTAAAAGATGGAAAAAACACAGTTCCATGGCACAATAAGTAATGCCGTTTGAAATAAACATGGGGGGGGGGGTGGACAGAAGCCCTAACAGAATAATCAGGAAAACCAAAACAATAATCAACACTTCTAAATACAGCCTATGGTGCAAAACTATTCAATATATAATTTCCTCCACAATTCACACCCTGCCATCAAAGAACTTTTGTCTCACTTAAAGCACTCAACCCTTTTTGAAGATGCACACCTCAGAACACATAGGGACAGAGGAAGCTAAAAGGACAGGCCACACAACAAGTCAGTGACTTCTGTCTTGCAGGTAGATTTTTCGGATGACCCAGACTTTTTGTCAAAGGAGGGGGGGAGAGGAAGAACCACTGGAATACCGAGATGAAGAGGAGGAGGAAGAAGAGGAGTACGACAAGATTGGTAACCACAGAATGCTTTCCAGTATTGAAGTTACAAGAGATGCATTCTGACAAAACAAAAAGCTTTGTACAAAAAACACACACACCAAAGTTTATAGTGCAGGTGCTCACCTTTGTTGGTGCCTTGTTCAATGGCCTGACACTGCTGCAACTGGCTCTGATTTCGCTCTTCACTATTCCCCTTCTTAATGAAAAGCACCAGGTTGAAATTGACCATTCTTGTGAACCCGAATCTTAGAAATGCACTTGCAAAAGTCCCAAGTTAAACCCAGGGGTGAAGCGCAAACCTCAACCCCTCAAATCAAGTTCTACAATCAGTGCAAATATTTGGTACTGCAGTTGTACTATTGATCTTTTTAAAATATAAAATTGCAGGTTTTCCCACAGTTTCTGTACATCAGCTATATGTACGCTGCTCCCTCTTTCTACGCCAGGATTGTCTTACAAACACGCCATCAGGTGGTACAACCACGCAACTCAAACCCTGCTATTAAAGAACTCCTGTCAAGACACTTCTGAAGTGGCCTGCAAGTATTTCACTGAACTGCCAGTGCCCACTTTTGGAACACTGGCCACCTCCGGGAAGTGTGCAATTCCAGAAAGGCCATCAACCCAGTGTGATCCAGCAGCAGCTCCTATGCAGCCGTCTGCTGTCACTTGGATCAGAGACAAGACAACATACAAGAAAAGGTGTTTGCAACTGCCCCCTCCAAATCTGGGGCAAACTGGTGGAGACGATAGTGGTGGGGAAGCTATGTAGAAAATCTTATTTTTTTATAAGCCCCCAATTTTCCCCCAGCATAACTAATTTTTATTTGTCTTTGGCTTTCTGTAAATTTAATTACCCCAAAGTGTATTTCTATATATATAGCAGGAGATCAAAACACTGGAAAGAAAATACAGTCTTGAAAAGACTAGTAAATTAATTGTGATGACTATGTTGGATTTCTATTTATTCTATTGAGTCAGAGTACTATAATATCATTTATAATATATTCTGTTAATTGCGTTGGATTTAAAATTAAGTTTTAAAAGTAATAAATCTATTATTTTTGTGTTTTTTACTTTAGTATTGTAATATATATTTTGTGTGTGTGTGTTATATGTTATGTTTGTGATAAACGTTGAAAATTAATTTTAAAAATTGGGGGGGGGGAGAGAAGTTAACCCATCAGGTGGGGAGAGCCGATTGTGAGGCACATGGGGAACCCTTGCACCTTTTCTGCAGGGCTTGCGCGGCCCCCATCTGCATTGTCTGCAAGAGGTCGAAAGAGCACATGAACTGATTAATCTGGACCATGCTTCACAGTGGTTGAAGCAAATAGTCCAGTTTCTGGTGCAAGAGAGATGAGTAATTATGGAATTGAAACTGGCAGAAGAAGAAAGAGCCAGGCATATCCGGCGGAGCTAGAGGAGGAGAAGAACAAGATCATGTGCGCTTTTGAGCAGATGCGCAACTTCCTGGAGGAGCTGCAGCACTTTTGGATGACCGAACTGGAGGATCTGGAGAAGGAGATGAAGAAGAAAAAGGAAATAAATATCGTCAATCTCTCGGAGGATATCACCGGTCTCAGTGTGAAACGCACAGAAATGGAGAAGAATTGCCAACAGGCCACTATTGAGTTCCTGAAGGGCATCGGGACTACGGTGACCAGGTTTCAGGAGTTGAAAAGAAGGCGGACACTGCTGGGAACTCTCCAGGCATGGAAGAGAGACTCATAATTTACACTCAGAAAAATTCATTTCTGAAGGATACCATGGAGAAATGCAAAGGGCTACCGATGCAGGCACTGAAGAAAATGAATATCACTCTGGAGCCGGGAACAGAACACCCTTTTCTTGTTATAACCTGACGAGTTTGAGAAGAAGAAGAAAGGCAGGACGCGCTGGACAACCCTGGGAGATTCGACAGCATGCTCTATGTGCTGGGCCATGCAAAATTCACCTCAGGAAGATATTGGTGGGAAGTGGTGGTGGAAGAGGAGAAGGAGGAAAGGGAATGGGCCACCTGGGGAAGTTGAGGGGAGTCTTTGGGGGGGGGGGGAGAACTGGATTTTATTTCATCCTTTTCTCTTCTTATGTTTAAGATGATTATGCTGATTTTAACATTGTATGACTGTAAAACCCAATTAAAAAAATTAAAAAGGAAGAGGAGGAATAATACAGCTCAACTTTATGATCAGTGAAAATATTTGCTACTGCAAAAGGTAGCATTTCTGTTTTTAAAATATATACATGGCCATGAAAGGAATCAGTCCCGTCAGATCAGTCAGGATCTGCTAGGAAGCAAGCTGTGTGCTGCCTCTCTGATCAGAGCCTCACCATCACCCAGGGAACGAACAACAGAACGAAGCCCCTCGGCCAGTGACTCCTGCTGCACAGGCCTTCAATAAAATGCCATGAGTCTTGCCAAAACAAAAAAACCAGAGCCCGGCTCAGGAGGAGCCCAAGAACCTCCTTTACGACATGAATGACTGCTACTCCAAGCTGTGCGAGCTGTTGCAGAGGATCCCACAAGGCACCAAAGTCAGCCAAGTGGAAATCTTGCAGCACGTCATCGACTATATCTATGACCTGGAGATTGTGTTAGAGGAAGAGGCGAAGAAGGGGCAACATCCTCCCGCAGCCGAGACTTCCCTACTTTCTTTAAAAGCTGCAGAACGGGCATCCAAACTTTGCTCAAAAGAGGAGAGGAAACTCTGCCACTAACCTATCGGAACCACCCTCGTTATTGGGGCCAGGTAGGGACCCCAAGAGCTCCTGCGATGCTTTTGAAAAGTTTTTTGCAGATAAAGTCTGATTGGAAGTGATCCAAAACATGAAGGAAGAAATGGCTCGCCATCTGCACAAGTACCAAGACCTGCTGAATGTAAAGATGGTTCTTGATATTGAGATTGCCACTTACAGGAAACTGCAGGAGGGAGAAGAGAGCAGAATCACAATGCCCATTCTGACTTTTGCATCCCTGAACCTGAGAGAAACAAACCTTGAGTCTATCCCAATAGACACTTCTTATCAAGACTGTTGAAACTAGAGATGGACAAGTTACAATGAAACTTCTAACCATGATGAACTGGAGTGAAGAAAAGAAGAGCACATCTTCCTTGTGCCAAAATGAACCCTTAGCAATTTAGAATATTTGTTAGGAAAGCAGCAGCAGAGATAACCTCCCCTCCTCCCCTTCTCTTTACTTATTTGCTTCCATTTTAAGGGGGAAGAGAAGCATGCATGTGTGAAAAGCAATGTTGTCCAATGAAATTTGATATTGTGTCATTCCAGGCCCACAGATTTTTGAAGAAAAATTCAATGGTGCATAGAGGGCTATCAGCCCATGTGTAGTTCAGATTCTGCAGTTTGATTGCACCCAAAAGGCAGAACTTTCAGAGTGCTGAGATTATACTGTGCTGGAGATATAAAGAAGGAATTTAAATTTGCAGTGTCGCATTTAACTTGCCTTAAAAGGTGGAGAGAGAAATCTAGTATTTGAACTTAGCAAGAAAAGAAAAGAAAAGAAAAGGGGGGCGGGGGAAAAAGCAAACCCTAGCGAGGGAAAATTGTGAATGTCCTGCAACTTTGTATAACAATAGCTTAAAAACGAATAAGTGGTTTATTAATAAAGAAAGGAAAAAAGAATATTTTTTCTTTACCTTCTGGTCGGAAACGATTCTAATATTGTGTGTGTAAAAGTATCTGTATTATATTGTAATTTGAATTTTGTGTAATTAAGACAACAACCTCGTGCACTCTGCAAAAACAAGACCAAGAAAGAATTTAAAGAGCTTCTTTCTGCTGCTCTCATTCACCGTGTTGAGTGTTGTGAGTGTGGTGGCTTGCATTGCCTTGGTCCGCTTCTCAGTGACCATCCGTAGAGGGTGGGACAAGCCATTCCTTGGACCTCCGCCAGGATCCAAGAGGAGTCACCCCACCACCAGTGCTCTTCCAGTAGGGGAGAGTAGTGGATCCAGGTGCGCGTGAGTGGCAGGGGCTCTGAGACCTCTAGTCGACTTTCGAATGGACAATGTTGAAACAGAGCTTTATCGAATATGAATGCTGGTCTCTATGATCCCTATTGATAGTTGTTATGATTTCTTCATTCAGTGAGACTTGAAAATAAAGATATTTTTCACATTCAAAAACACAAAGAAAAAGAAAACATTTATTTGAATTTTCATTCTGTCTGCAAAAGGAGAGAAGAAAGATGCAGTGCTTCATCAGGCACAGTCATTAGAGAGGTTCATTCAGGGATTAATTAACAAAAAAGAAGAGGGGATCCTAACAGCCAAAAAGGCTGCATCATACTACTGTTTGGCTTGTGTTTCGCAACCCTTTCGTGTGCCTGTCCCTCTCAGGAAAGCTTAGTACAAAAAAAAAGTTTATAGTGTGGGTGTTCACCTATGTTGATGCCTTGTTCAATGGCCTGACACTGCTGCAACTGCTTCTGATTTTGCTCTTCACTAGATCTTTCAGATGACCCAGAGCTTTTCTCAAAGGGGAGGGGGGAGAGGAAGAACCGCTGGAATACTGAGATGAAGAGGAGGAGGAAGAAGAGGAGTACGACAAGATTGGAAAACAAAGAATGCTTTCCAGTATTGAAGTTACAAGAGATGCATTCTGACAAAACGAAAAGCTTAGTACCAAAAAAAAAAAAAAAAGTTTATAGTGCAGGTGCTCACCTTTGTTGGTGCCTTGTTCAGTGGCCTGAGACTTCTGCAACTGGCTCTGATTTCGCTCTTCACTATTCCCCTTCTTAATGAAAAGCACCAGGTAGAAATTGACCATTCTTGTGAAACAGAATCTCAGAAATGCACTGGCAAAGTCCCAAGTTAAACCCAGGGGTGAAGCGCAAACCTCAACCCCTCAAGTCAAGTTCTATAGTCAGTGCAAATATTTGGTACTGCAATTGTACTACAGTTCTTTTTAAAATATAAAATTGCAGGTTTCCCCACAGTTTCTGTACATACATCAGCTATATGTACGCTTCTCCCTCTATCTATGCAAGGATTATCTTACAAACACGCCATCAGGTGGTACAGCAACACAACTCAAACCCTGCTATTAAAGAACTCCTGTCAAGACACTTCTGAAGTGGCCTGCAAGTATTTCACTGAACTGCCAGAGCCCACTTTTGGAACACTGGCCACCTCCGGGAAGTGTGCAATTCCAGAAAGGCCATCAACCCAGTGTGATCCAGCAGCAGCTCCTATGCAGCCATCTGCTGTCACTTGGATCAGAGACAAGACAACATACAAGAAAAAGGTGTTTGCAACTGAGAACTTTGGCTGGAACATGCCAGGTGTGTGTGGTTGTCTGTCTTCCCAGGCTCCTTATGCTCCCCATTTACTCCTCCTTGCCCTACAAATCTCATCATAACAGGTTTCCAAACAAATAAATAACTTTTAACCAAGAGAAAGGAGACAGAATGATTGGCAACTCAAACTAGAGCAAACTAGAGCAAAATCCTGTTTTTTTAAACCACATCTTAAGCCAGCCTATGGGACCAGACAATTAATTTGGCTCAGGGTGCAGGTTGCCAAGTGGGACATACGACAGATGTAGATGAACACATCTAGGTCACACTGAGAAAACTTGACCACACAGTGATAAGGAAATGGGACTGGCCAGCGAGGCAAAGATGGAGGAGAAATTGGAATGTTAACCCCCCCCCCCCAAATCTGGGGCAAACTGGTGGAGACAATAGTGGTGGAGAAGCTATGTAGAAAATCTTATTTTTTATAAGCCCCCGATTTTCCCCAGCATAACTAATTTTTATTTGGCTTTGGCTTTCTGTAAATTTAATTACCCCAAAATGTATTTCTACATATATAGCAAGAGACCAAAACACTGAAAAGAAAATACAGTCTTGAAAAGACTAGTAAATTAATTGTGATGCCTATGTTGGATTTCTATTTATTCTGTTGAGTCAGAGTACTATAATCAAGTGTTAGCATATAACTGAGGATGCTTCTAGATTCCATGTTCTGTTTTTTTATGAAGCTCATTGTGTTTAACACAATGTGACAAATCAGGTAACAACTGTTAACCTTATTGCTTTTTCCTGGTGCTGTCAGAGTGTATGCTTTTGCACATTTGAAGTGCAGTTGGAAAGCAAATTATGTATATAATAAATTACCCCCTCATCCAAATCTGGGGCAAACTGGTGGAGACGATAGCGGTGGGGAAGCTACAAGAATTATTGGAAAACACAGATAATTAAATGCATTCCCCTTTGGGTTGAATCCTGGCCATGGGGGTTCAACCCATCCAATATTGAGGGGGCCAGCATCCCCCGTTGGGTTGTTGTTTTGGGGAAGCAAATGACAGCCACCATCAGCTGCAAGACACACACCATAGGGAGTCGTGCGGGACATATCACAGATGTGGAAGGACAGATTCTGCAGTTTGATTGCTCCCAAATGGCAGGACATTCAGAGTGCTCCTTGCAGGTGTGTCTTAAACTTTAATACCATGGGGCTCCAACCATTTGTGCCATATGACCAAGTTAGACATCTTTCCAACTGGAGCAGCCCCATTTCCTTTGTAAAAGATGGAAAAAACACAGTTCCATGGAAGAACAGGTAATGTCGTGTGAAAGAAACATTGGAAAAAATAAGAGAAGCCCTATGAGAATAATCAGGAAAACCAAAGCAATAATCACCACATCTAAATACAGTTTATGGCGCAAAACCAATAAATTCTTCATGCTCCTGCTATTTGCAGAATCTAATGATCCCAGCAGAGCTAAATCTCTGCTGAGGACTTGTTGCCTCAGTTGGTGGGAATCACTGACTGCATGTACAAGGCAGGGCACACTGACCAGACCTCCTGGCCACCCAGGGCTTTAGCCCCCTCTGTATTTCTAGCCAGGGTGCTCAGTTCCTCCAATATTGAGGGGCCCGGCATCCCCCACTGCCGGGCTCTTGCAATGGGGCCGCAAATGACTGTCACCAGCAGCCACCAGGGCCCTGTTAGCAGTGAGGGACATGCGACAAATATGAATGGCCACGCCTGGCAGGTGAGTCAAAGATGCATGACAGGGAAGGGGAAACATTTGATTTTATCTATTTGCATACTGCAGGGCATAATAACAGGTTTTGAAACAAATAAAAACTTTTAACAAAGAAGACGGAACCAGAATGATTGGCAACTAGAGCAAAATCTTTAGTTTTTTCATCACATCTTAAGCCAGCCTATGAGACAAAACAATAAATTTAGTGTAGAGCACAGACAGCCGAGTGGAACGTATGGCAGAGGAGGAGGAAGAAGAGGAGTACGACAAGATTGGTAACCACAGAATGCTTTCCATTAATGAAGTTACAAGAGATGCATTCTGACAAAATGAAAAGCTTAGTACAAATGAGAAGACATTCCGTTGTCTCCGTAATGAGGACCAAATGGCTGTGGAGATGTTGTCTTGTGGAATTAGAAAGTTTGCTGCTGATGCAGTTAAACTGGAGCAGATAATAAAGGAACGAATGGTCAATGCTGCAAATGGAAAGTAGGCATGCCAAACTTATTGGAAGCTGTATGGCTGTACAAGCTGCATATGAATGGATTTTTTGTATTCCAGGCTTTTTATATGATTTTGCAAACTTAACATATTCTCAGTGTGTTTGGCTCTTTTGTATATCAAAATTGATACTGCTGGGGGGGGGGGTGTTTGTAGATGACTAAAGGGCCAATTGACTGGAAGGGTTTCCCTTCAAAATGATGGTGGTAGTGATAATAATAAAAGAATTGTGGTACAAAAAAATAATTAAAATATTAAAAAAAAGTTTATAGTGTGGGTGTTCACCTATGTTGGTGCCTTGTTCAATGGCCTGACACTGCTGCAACTGGCTCCGATTTCGCTCTTCACTATTCCCCTTCTTAATGAAAAGCACCAGGTAGAAATTGACCATTCTTGTGAAACAGAATCTCAGAAATGCACTGGCAAAAGTCCCAAGTTAAACCCAGGGATGAAGTGCAAATCTCAACCCCTCAAGTCAAGTTCTACACTCAGTGCTAATATTTTGGTACTGCAATTGTACTATTGTTCTTTTTAAAATATAAAATTGCAGCTTTTCCCACAGTTTCTGTACGTACATCAGCTATATGTGCACTCCTCCCTCTTTCTATACGAGGACTGTCTTACAAACACGCCATCAGGTGGTACAGCCACGCAACTCAAACCCTGCAATTAAAGAACTCCTGTCAAGACACTTCTGAAGTGGCCTGCAAGTATTTCACTGAACTGCCAGTGCCCACTTTTGGAACACTGGCCACCTCCGGGAAGTGTGCAATTCCAGAAAGGCCATCAACCCAGTGTGATCCAGCAGCAGCTCCTATGCAGCCGTCTGTTGTCACTTGGATCAGAGACAAGACAACATACAAGAAAAAGGTGTTTGCAACTGAGAACTTTGGCTGGAACATGGTGGGTGGGTGTGGTTGTCTGTCTTCCCAGGCTCCTTATGCTCCCCATTTACTCCTCCTTGCCCTACAACTCTCATCATAACAGGTTTAAAAACAAATAAACAACTTTTAACCAAGATGAAGGAACCAGAATGATTGGCAACTCAAACTAGAGCAAAATCCTCAGTTTTTAAAACCACATCTTAAGCCAGCCTATGGGACCAGACAATAAATTTGGCTCAGGGTGCAGGTAGCCGAGTAGGACATACGACAGATGTAGATGAACACATCTAGGTCACACTGAGAAAACTTGACCACACAGTGATAAGGAAATGGGACTGGCCAGCGAGGCAAAGATGGAGGAGAAATTGGAATGTTAACCCCCCCAAAAAAATTGGGGAAAACTGGTGGACACAATAGGGGTGGGGAAGCTACAAGAATTATGGGAAAACACAGATAATTAAATGCATTCCCATCTGGGTTGAATCCTGGCCATGGGGGCTCAATCCCCCCAATATTGAGGGGTCCAACATCCCCCGTTGGGTTGTTGTAATGGGGAAGCAAATGACAGCCACCTTCTGCTGCAAGAGACACACGCCATAGGGAGCCAAGCGGGACATGCAACAGATGTGGAAGGACACATCTCGGTCACATCGAGAGATATAACTTCACAGAGAAGTGGAACTGGCAAGGTAAATGGCCCGCTAGTCGTAGATGAGGGAGAGGAATGGGAAACATTCAATGTATCCATCTGTATATCATTTGCATGCTGCAGGGCTTCAAACAATGTTTCTAAACAAGTAAACAAAAATAAATAAAAAGTTTTGTTCATGGTAACATTAGTATTGTATACAGAAACAATGGGTTCCTTTCATATCTTTATGTATTGGCTTATTTAAATATTTGTACTTTCCCTCTCCTTTCCTTCTGAAAAGTTCAAAGCAGCTAATAAAAATCAAACCATGATTTAGCAATTTAGAATATTTGTTAGGAAAGCAGCAGCAGAGATAACCTCCCCTCCTTCCCTTCTCTTTATTTTTTGCTTCCGTTTTAAGGGGGGGAAAGAAGCATGCATGTGTGAAAAGCAATGTTGTCCAATGAAATTTGATATTGTGTCACACCAGGCCCACAGATTTTTCCAGAAAAATTCAATGGTGCATGACGGGCTATCAGCCCGTGTGTAGTTCAGATTCTGCAGTTTGATTGCCCCCAAATGGCAGAAAATGCAGAGTGCTCCTTGCAGGCGTGTCTTAAACTTTAATACCAGGGGGCTCCAACCATTTGTGCCATATGACCAAGTAAGGCATCTTTCCAACTGCAGCAGCCCCATTTCCATTGTCAAAGATGGCGAGGAAACTGTTCCATGGCAGAACAGGTAATGTAGTGTGAAAGAAACAATGGAAAAAAATAACAGAAGCTCTAACAGAATAATCAGGAAAACCAAAGCAATAATCACCACATCTGAATAAAGTCTATGGCGCAAAACCATTAAAACCGGTACTGGGAAGAAATATATTTGTGTTATAATTGATTATGTTTCTAGGTATTTGGGCTATTATCCTGCCCAACCCTGCTGTAGATCACCTCATGAAATCTTTTGGCCTAATATCTAATGACATCCCCAAAGACAAGAAAAATCTATTCCTTTACACAACAGCAGCTGCCAGAATATCCCATCACTATTAGAATGGCAAAACAAACTCGGCGAGTTTGTAGAAACGGCAAAATTGATGGCAATTATTAGAAGCCACTCAAATCAGAGAATAATTAGAAAGTGGGATAGAGTGAAGGAAAACATGAAAAAATATCGTCCTGGAATTGAAATATTAATAGAGAATGTGTAAAACTTGCAGGGGTAAGCAAGAAAATAATAATAGAAGCAACTGAATGATTATTAAATTATAACAACACAACAAGATGGAAGAAGTAAAATATTGAAATCCCACATGGGTGAAGGGGAGTGGGGGGTATATGGGAACCTATAATATCATTTATAATATAATCCGTTGTATTTATAATATAATCCGTGTTGTATTAACATAGAGCAAAGGGAAGCCTAGAGCAACTAGATATATTTTAAATTAGGTAATCTATGTTATAGGCTTGTGTTAGAAAATGAGTATGGATTTTGAATTTGATGTTTGTAATATTTTTTGGTTTTGAAATAAAAATTAAAAAAAGAAAAAGAAACCATTTGCATCCACTGGAAGCAGCCAGCAAGTGATCCACAAGAGCCAGATTCTGGACTTGAAGAATCCCAAGCACATTTATCTTCATTTTGCATTCTGGCCAAAATTATGCCAATAACCTTAAACTAAATTTGGCATCAATTGTGTCTTTATTTGGGGAGGTCTTGGGGGTCTTAACACGCAAGGCACCAAAGTCAGCCGTGGAAATCTTGCAACACGTCATAGATTCCATAGGTCCTCTCCAGTTGTACAGAAGATAGAAGGAGAGAGAAAAAAGACCTTGACTGGGGAAAGGGGGAAAGGATCAGATGCATTAACTCTGTGCATCCAGTAATGAAGAGACCACCATCATTCACTTCCAGATAACCTGTAGAACATGAGTCCGGCCAGGCAGTTTCAGATGCCTTGACTGGTCTTCCAGGCCAGGGAGGGGTGGGCAGTGAAAGCAAGCCCACTTTTTAATAACTATCACATTGCTGTATTAAACAAAAAGAAACTTCGTGGACTGATGTGTCGCTTCCTCAGAAAAAAGGGCAACAAAAACAACAACAACTTTGCATATATGCAGCTTGTGTGTATATTTTGGATCATAGTTTTTTAACAACATTTTTGGGGGGTGAAGTGGGGGGTATATGGGAACCTATAATATCATTTATAATATAAACTGTTAATTGCATTGTATTTAAAATTGGGTTTTAGAAGTAATAAGTCTATTATTTTTGTGTGTTTTTTTCTTTAGTATTGTAATGTATATTTTGTGTGTGTGTGTGTGTTATATGTTAAGTTTGTGATAAATGATGAAAATTAATTTTAAAAATTGGGGGGGGGAGAGAAGTTAACCCATCAGGTGGGGAAAGCCGATTGTGAGGGACATGGGGAACCCTTGCACCTTTTTTGCAGGGCTTGCGCGGCCCCCATCTGCATTGTCTGCAAGAGGTCGAAAGAGCACATGAACTGATTAATCTGGACCAGGCTTCACAGTGGTTGAAGCAAATAGTCCAATTTCTGGTGCAAGAGAGACGAGTGATTATGGAATTGAAACTGGCAGAAGAAGAAAGAGCCAGGCATATCCGGCGGAGGTAGAGGAGGAGAAGAACAAGATCATGGGCGCTTTTGAGCAGATGCGCAACTTCCTGGAGGAGCTGCAGCGCTTTTGGATGACCGAACTGGAGGATCTGGAGAAGGAGATGAAGAAGAAAAAGGAAATAAATATCGTCAATCTCTCGGAGGATATCGCCGGTCTCAGTGTGAAACGCACAGAAATGGAGAAGAATTGCCAACAGGCCACTATTGAGTTCCTGAAGGGCATCGGGACTACGGTGACCAGGTTTCAGGAGTTGAAAAGAAGGCGGACACTGCTGGGAACTCTCCAGGCATGGAAGAGAGACTCATAATTTACACTCAGAAAAATTCATTTCTGAAGGATACCATGGAGAAATGCAAAGGGCTACCGATGCAGGCACTGAAGAAAATGAATATCACTCTGGAGCCGGGAACAGAACACCCTTTTCTTGTTATAACCTGACGAGTTTGAGAAGAAGAAGAAAGGCAGGACGCGCTGGACAACCCTGGGAGATTCGACAGCATGCTGTACTTGCTGGGCCATGCAAAATTCACCTCAGGAAGATATTGGTGGGAGGTGGTGGTGAAAGAGGAGAAGGAGGAAAGGGAATGGGCCACCTGGGCCATAGGGGTTGCAAAAGAGTCTGTCAGGCGCAAAGGTTTTGTCAGCATGCTTCCTTCTGAGGGGATCTGGGCCATTGGGAAGGCAAAGGATGAGTCAGCCTCATCTGATCCCTTCTGGGCTTCAACCCACCCTGAGTGGATCCCTTTGAGATTGAGTTATGAGCCCAGGAAGATCTGGGTGTCCCTAGACTATGATGAGGGTCGTGTGGAATTCTATGATGCCCACACTAATGGTTTGATCGTCAATTTCCGACAAGCCTCATTCTCTGGGGAGAAGGTCCAGCCCTTTTTCGATGTTTGGTGGGGAGTTGGTCTGAAGTGTTGAGTCCTGAGGACGATCCTCACCGCTCCCAGCTCTTCCACCCCCACCCCAGATTGAGAGGAGGTGGTAGCGTAGCATTTTCTCCACAGTGTTATGAGTTTGTGGGTGCCAGACATCCTAAGGAAGGAAATTTTAAGGAAGGAAATTTTGCCCTTCTGCAAATCTCTGCTGGTTTCTCCTCCTTCGTGGCCACGAAAGGAATCAGCCCCGTCAGATTCGTCAGGATAAGCTAGGAAGCAAGCTGTGTGCTGCCTCTCTGATCAGAGCCTCACCATCACCCAGGGAACGAACAACAGAACGAAGCCCCTCGGCCAGTGACTTCTGCTGCCGCACAATAAAATGCGACAAGTCTTGCCAAAACAAAAAACAAAAAAACCAGAGCCCGGCTCAGGAGGAGCCCAAGAACCTCCTTTACGACATGAATGACTGCTACTCCAAGCTGCGCGAGCTGGCGCCGAGGATCTCGCAAGGCACCAAAGTCAGCCAAGTGGAAATCTTGCAGCACGTCATCGACAATATCTTTGACCTGCAGATCATGCTAGAGGAACAGGCAAAGAAGGGGCAAGATCCGCCCACAGCCAAGACTTCCTTACTCTCTTTAAAAGCAGCAGAGCGGGCATCTGAACTTTGTTCAAAAGAGGAGAGGAATCTCTGCCACTAACCTCTTAAAACAGACTGCAAGTGTGGAATCCTGGCACTTGGTTCTCTCCAGTGAGACAGGAGATAGAAGAAGAGAGAAAAAATAAAGACCTGAACAGGGGAAAGGATTAGATGTTTTAACCCCGTGCATCCAGTAATGAAGAGACCACCATCTTTCTCTTCCAGATAAACTGTAGAACATGGGTCTGGCCAGCCAGTTGCTGATGCCTTGACTGGTCTTCCAGAAACAACTTTCTGCCCTCAATCTGTTATTCTCTTCCAACGGCCTGAAAACAAAATTTGCAGGCCGGGGGGGGGGGGGGCATTGAAAGCAAGCCCACTTTTCAATAACTATCGTATGGATGTATTAAACAAGAAGAAACTTTGCAGAAGAAGAAATTTTGTGGCGTTTGTGTGTCACTGGGCGGATTATTATTATTATTGTTAAAGCTCTGAACACTCAGATTCTTCATGGTAGTTTACTGGTCAGGAGATTTCTTACTGAAATCACACACTTCCAACATTGAATCAGCTTGTGATAAATGTGGTCTAGTCTGTTTGCTCAAAAAAAAGGGCAACAAAAAAACCACAACTACTTTGCATATATGCAGCTTGTATGTATATTTTGGATTATAGTTTTTTAACATCATTTTTTTGGGGTGAAGGGGACTTTCAAGAACATGAAAACTGAGGTGTCTTAGGGCTGTTTTGCCTCATGGTTTTTGTTGCTCAACTCTAATAGAGAGAACACACATGTATCCTTTTTTGGCATGAAGGTTGATTTCTTCATCCATAAATTCTACTTCCTTTGGTGTGTGTGTTTTTTAAAAAAACTTTTCATGAAAGCTTTTGCATAATAAATCTTAAGCTGCTGTTTCTTTAAAAAAACCAAATACATACACACACACACACACACACACACACAAACACATATGTACATTGCAATTTCTGCTGCAGTTTCTCAACATACATCAGCAGAGTTTATGCTTCAAGAGGAGAGAAGTGAACGGCAGTGCTTCATCAGCCACATTTGCCTCTGCGGCAGTAACACTGTCAACTTGAATGTGCTGGACATCTGTGGTTTTCTGCCTCCCCCCACCCTCTTTTACTCCCACTTTCCTCCTCCATATGATAAAACTTTCCTCTTCATTGCTTCTGCTATAGTACTATCTTTCCTTTAGAAATAAAAAATTGCAGGTTTCTCCACAGTTTCTGTACATACATCAGCAATATGTATGCTTCAGGCCCTTCCTACACCAAAATGGATTCCGTTCCAAACATGCCTTCAGGTGGTACAGCCACACAGTTCACACCCTACTCTTAATGAACCTTTCAGCTTTTGGTTTTGGTTTTGAAATAAAAATTAAAAAAAGAAAAAGAAACCATTTGCAGCCTCTTCAATCAGCGAGCAAGTGATCCACAAGAGCCAGATTCTGGACTTGAAGAATCCCAAGCACATTTATCTGGCTTTTTCATTCTCTCTGCAAGAGGAAAGAAGTGAAAGGCAGTGCTACATCTGGCGCAGTCACTAGGGAGGTGCATTCAGGGATTAATTCACAAAGAAGAGGAGGGGATCCTAACAGCCAGAAAGGGTGCTCTGCTTGGAAAGCAGCAAAGAGCTGGCTGCTCCGTCCCTTCCTCCTCCTCCTCCTTCTTCTTCTGCTGCTGCTGCTAATGGAGACCTGGAACAAGGCGGGCTGAGCTCTCGGCTTCGTCATGGTTGCCATGGCGCCACATTCACCCCGTCCTCCCTGCCCTTCTGGTCCACGTGGCCATTTGCAGAGGGGTGGTTTCTGCAGCCCCCCACCATCCCACCCCCTTCCTCTATACTATGTAAATCGAATTACAGGATTTCCCACAGTTTCTGCTTTCTTCTTCATAGCTGCTGCTCAAGTACTATCTTTCCTTTTCAAATAAAAAAATAGCAGGTTTCTCCACAGTTTCTTTACATACATCAGCAGTATCTATGCTTCAGCCCTCTTCTATTGCAAGATGGATTCCTTTCGAAACTTGTCATCAGGTGGTACAGCCACACAGCTCACCCCCTGCCCTTAAGGAACTTTTCAGTTACTGCACACACTCCAAATTTGCGGCGGATGCACCTGTGTTACTCGCAGCCAGGTATTCCCAAACCCCTCAACACAAGTGTCCCTTCTCCTTTTCTGCACCCCGATTCAATCCCTTGCCAACACCTTACCAGAAGATGCAGCCACACAACTCAGACCTTCTATAATCCGAGGATAAAATATAAATATCTTCTAGAACCTACAACCCTTTGGTGCATTTCACCCATTGAAGCCTTTGCCGTTAAGAAGAAAAACATGAAGGGAAATTGGGCAACATATAAAATGTTATTAGAGGGGGAAATTAATAAATTAAGAGGAAAGGACTTTGACATCCATATATATTTGACAGGCAAGGAAAATAGGGCTTGCTGGGGAAATATCAAAACTAAAGGGAACTCTAACCCAGCCTAAAGGAAAATGTCTATCTAAAATGTATAATCTGCTCCACAATTCACATCCTGCCATCAAATAACTTTTGTCTCACTTTAAGCACTCAACCTTTTCTGAGGATGCACAACTCAGAACACATAGGGACAGAGGAAGCTAAAAGGACAGGCCAGTGATTTCTGTCTTAGAAGTAAATTTTTCGGATGACCCAGACCTTTTCTCAAAAGGGGGGGAAGAGGAAGAAAGATGGAGGAGAAATTGGAATGTTAATACCGCCCCCTCCAAATCTGGGAAAAATTGGTGGACGATAGCGGTGGGGAAGCTATGTAGAAAATCTTTCCAACTGCAGCAGCCCCATTTCCTTTGTAAAAGATGGAAAAAACACAGTTCCATGGAACAACAAGTAATGTCGTGTGAAAGCAACATTGGAAAAAATAACAGAAGCCCTAACAGAATAATCAGCAACACCAAAGCAAGAATCACCACATCTAAATACAGCCTATGGCACAAAACCATTCAATTCTTCATGCCCCTGCTATTTGCAGAATCTACTGATCCCAGCAGAGCTAAATCTCTGCTGAGGACTTGTTGCCTCAGTTGGTCGGAATCACGGACTGCACGTACAAGGCAGGGCACACTGAGCAGACCTCCTGGCCACCCAGGGCTTTAGCCCCCTCAGTATTTCTAGACAGGGTGCTCAGTTCCCCCAATATTGAGGGGCCCAGCATCCCCCACTGCTGGGCTCTTGCTATGGGGCCGCACATGACTATCACCAGCAGCTGTGGGAAGCCCAGGGCCCTGTTAACAGCGAGGGACATGCAACAAATATGAATGGCCACGCCTGGCAGGTGAGGCGAAGATGGATGAGAGCGAAGGGGAAACATTTGATTTTATCTTTTTGCATACTGCAGGACCTGATAACAGGTTTCTAAACAAATAAACAATTTTTAACCAGGAGGAAGGAACTAGAATGATTAGCAACTAGAGCAAAATTTTTAGTGTTATCATCACATCTTAAGCCAGCCTATGGGACAAAACAATAAATTTGATGCAGGGCACAAGTAGCCGAGTGGGACGAATTTGACCACATAGAGCCAAGGAAATGGGACTGGCTAGCAAGGCAAAATGGAGCAGAAATTGGATTGTTAAAACCTTCCCCCCCCCCCCATTTGGGACAAACTGGTGGAGGCGATAGCGTTGGGGCAGCTACAAGAATTCTTGGGGAAAACGAATTTGCAGAACTATTAAGGAAACAGTTCAAAGTAAAATATTTAGGACCAGCAAACAACTATCTTGGTCTAGAGAACCAGTGATGGAAGTTTTTTTGTTAAGTGAAAGAAACATAATAATTGAGTTGCTTGAATGGAACAACAAGCACAACTGGTTATAAAGCTGGGAATTGTGTTGCATGATGTGTGGATACTTTTGTATATGTTTATAATACTGTATTTCTGTTCAAATGGGGGGGGGGTGTTAGGAAAACATTCTTTAAGAAACAGATGAAAGTTCCTGGAAGCTTTTAAAAGGGTTCCAGAATTTTCTTTACAGCATAGGAGTGGCACTCTAGGATTGATTGGTGTCCACTGGAGGTGCAAATAAAGGGAGGAAGTTGCAGGCTGCAATGTCCGTACAAGGAAAACACACACACAAACAGACACACACTGTCTTTGCAGATTATGGCGGGGCCTTCGCAGATGCCTCCAGAGGTTGCCTCTCCTGCAGAGAATGATTTGCTGGGGCCCCGGGCACCTTCTTCCAGAAGGAAATGTCATCTGAGGAGGTGATCCAGGAGGAGGGCAAAGAAGAGCAGAGATGGTGATTCTACTGTACTTCATTGTCAGGTAAATCGTCCCAGAGCTCTGATGCGATTCAGATGTCACCTTGGACCTCTACAGGGGTCAGAGTGAGGCCATCCCAGGCCTTTCAGCTCCACCTAAGGCAGAGAGGCGATCGCCATGACGGAATGTTAGAATCTGGTTTGCCAAGATCCCCACAACTCATTGGGATTGTAGGGACGCAGACGTGTGGACTGTTGAAATGGCTCCACATTTCGAATGGAAATTCCCTGAGCGATAAAAAATGAAGCAGGTATACAGGAAGCTGGCTTGGCAGCAGCTTTGTTGGGACTTCATTAGCGGTTCTTGCCAGCATCAGCCCTGTAAATATATGCATCTTTGTGTTAGGTGCTCTGGGTATCATTCGGCCACTGCTTGCTGTATTAGAGACAGGCACCCCTTTTTGTGGTGGAGAAGGGGGCTCAAAGCAGCAAGCCAAAAATGCCCCCTGCCCAAGCAGGGCTGGGGCTGATAAGCTAGAATTCAATACCTCTTGCCTATACTCTCATAAGATTATCTCCCTTGTAAGCCTGGCTGGAAGCTTATACAGATTGGTCAGCTGTTTTGTACTTGTGGGAAGGGTTTCCCAATATTTTAGGATTCCCGTGGCTGTCCAGCCCATGGCCTGGAATACAGCAAATCTAAAGTCGGTTAGAGAGCTACCTGGGGTAGCCAGAAAGCAGATTGGAAGAAGCTTGCATTGAGGCGTATGGCTGGACCCCTTCGATTCTCCT